ATCTTCAAAATTTCTTTTACCCGAAATAAAATTAAGCGAACATATTCTACACTCTTCCATTATTCACCCATACTCCGCTAATTTCCTTAACCTCACACCCAACACACTTCGTCAATTCCCCTCGATCGCCAAAAAAATCTACCCCATCCGAATCAACAGTCGAATCTCGACAACCTCCAAACAGCAAGATCTCTCGAACCATCTTAAAACTACCAAATTCCTCCCTCCTTAATTGCCGCGAGTTTCCCGCTTTCGTATTCCGGCTGTATGTTTATCGCGCGATTCGTTCAACTAATGGTCCGTGATCACGGCCGATAATCGGGATCTTATCGGTTTCTTCCGGACGCTTTCGCGGCGACCCTCGTTCTCTTCTTGCCTCTCCTCGCCGGAGGTCCAGCTACGGTGGCTGTTGCGGCGAACGCGCCATGGGGATTCCCCTTCAATTTCGTCGTCCGTTTCGCCGGTTGGATTCCGCTCCATTCGTCGCGCGCGACCAGACTACGTGACGCGAAAAATGGATGCGTCCGCGCGGTTTTCTCTTGGTAATTCGAAAACCTTCCCCGGGCAAGACGAATCGCCACCGCGTGAAATTGCTCGATACTAGCCTGCACCGGGTGTTAAAGACTTCTGTGTTGCAGCACCACCAGGTTTAATGGTATTCGTTGTTTTCTTCAACCTCTAATGCATGTAAAGTGAAATAACGAGACGCTACGAGGTAGAGTCTGGAGATTAGGTTGTAGTTGCTGTGATTGGGAGGAAGTATTTAAAAATGTCGTTTGCAGGTTCGTTAGTCTGAGCTCGATAAGCTTTAGACGTTAAGATTTGTGATTTAGATTAATCGGTTAGTGGAAGATTTGGTCGTGAGTTCTGTCATGCCTCGAGATTGCGGATTGCGTTTTATTATGATTGCACTGTGGAACTTGAACGATAGAATCTTTTGAAAAATTCAATTTTGCTAACTTTCGATATTTCAGAATTTAATTTCTTTGAATTTCATTTTCTAATTTTTCATATTTCAAAATTGAAGCTTTGCAAATTTTCAATATATTTTTCCTAAAGTGTGATAATTTCGTGGGGGGAATTTAAATTAGAGTTTCTTCGAAATGAAATTTAGGCAAATGTTTCGTGCGAATAACGAAAAATTAGGGAAACAGTTATGCGCTGCATACTAAATAGTTGACGTTATTCTCGTTACAGGAGAGCGCACCTCAGAAACTGCCTCGAAAAGCTGAAGGTGTTGGTTCCGTTGGGTCCCGAAACCTCAAGACACACCACGTTGGGTCTCTTGACCAAGGCCAAGCGTTTTATCAAGGTAAGAGGGTAAATTTATCACGATAATTAGTGTACTGTGGGTTACTCTAACCCTTTCGCGCCGCCAACAGTGAAACAGAATTAAATAGAAGATTAACATAGTCGAATTAAATAGAATTGCCACAGTAAGACATTTATTGCATCTAAAGATACAAACACGAAGGAATTTTGATACAAATAAACATATTAAGAATACAAAAACGAAGGAAGAAAATTGCAATAAATGCAGTCTGAATTTTTCTTTCGAAGAAACAAGTTCCTAAAAAAATTGCAATAAATGCAATCTCTTAGTTGATAATAATTTTCTTTCAAAGATAGAAGACAGAAGTTCCTAAAGGAGAAAATATTAAACATACAGAAATGAAGGGAAAAAAATTGCGATAAATGTAACGTGGAAGTTTACGTTAGAATAATTTTTCTTTCGTAGAAAGAAGGCAGAAGTTCCACGTGAAATTACTAGGACGTGTGTCTGTTCACTGACAGTCTGATTCCCCTTATTCTCTACACTCGCTTGAATGCTTTGCTTTCGTACAGGGTGTCTACTAAATCACAGTGCAACCAACAAATTCTATACTAAAATTTCACAAATTTTATACTATTTATTACTAAAAATAATTCCTTCAAAATTAATAGTCAAACGTTGCATTAAACCTGTAGCATTTAAGTTCCACGATCAAAGTTACTAAGCAATAAAAAGAAAACACTGTTCCACATTTAAACAATGTTATCATTTTACTCCAACGCAAGAACTTCTACACACCGAAATCTGGAATATCAAGCCCCAAACCTGCACTCCGCATACACATTTCACACCACGCAATCACAGTGTTAATTCTTCAACCCCATCCCCCGATGCATCCGTTTAATTTCACCACTTCACGACTCACAGTTTCGCCCCGATCTCGCCCGAGGACCCCATACACCGAAACATGAGAATCATCAGGTTCTCCCAGCATCGCCGTGCGCAAACTTCCTCTCCCACGGTGAAATCTCCACCCGGCGAAAACGCATTATTCCTCCGGAACAGCCTTCCTTCGCCACCTAATCTCCGCGAGGCAAGTTCGAGCAAACAGATACACCAGAATTGCCCATAAAAGTGCGCAAGAAGCACGGCACTTGAGGGAGGGGGAGGTTTGAATATTTCATGGGGGTTCCGCGAAGCCGCGGTTCGCGGGAATCAACGAGCAAGAACCACTCGTAGAAAACATCCGAGCCGTTGTATACCATCGCGCCATGTTCACACACACAGAAACGCAGAAACAACAACAGAAAAAAAGAAAAAGAAGAGAAGAAAAAGGAAGAAGACAAGAAAGAAACTGATGGGGAGGGAAGAGGAGATTTCTGGCTGGAGAAAGGGGTCGGGTAATTAGCAAGAAAGATGGCGGAAAAGATGGCCGAGTGTGAAAAGAATCGCGGTCGAGCACGGTCGATAAAGAAGGGAGAGGAGAGACAGAAAGAAGGAGAGTCCAGGGGCGGACAAATAAAGTATTACGTCTACGCGAGTATACGATGTGAGACATTGCTTCTCTTCTCTTCCTTTCTTTAACCCCACCCGGTGGATGTCCTCGTTCGATCTTAATTCTTCTTCTTCGTCTGGCGTTGCTGCCCTCGACATGCTTTATTTCTTCTTACGCTTTCTTTTGCTTCTTGGATTTGAATAGGCGAGGAAAGGTGGAAGAGATTCCAAGTTATTTTTGGAAAATTGAAAAGATCGAGGCAGATGTTTGTTTATTTAGAAACTATTTTAATATTATTGTCGTTTTGGATGATTTTTGGATTTAACCCTTTCGTTCTCATTTTATCCGTACGACTACATTTTCTTTTCTGTAGTAACAATGATTTCCGTGTAGTCTTTTTGTAAAATAAATGTTAGCCAAGTGTGTTGTTTCGTTTGGAAATAAATATTTCGTCTATATGCTGCAGTGTAAACGTTAAATTAAATGTAAAATAAATGTCAGTTCCAAAGTAAAATAAGTGGGAACTGAATAAATTTCATTAAGAAACAGATATTTTATCTACATTCTGGAGTTCACACGCAAAATTTAAAATCTCACGACACCAATGAAGAAGGTCTTCAAACGTTTCCCAAATGTCACAATATTCCAATAAATTGCTTATTTTTCACAGAAAAGACGCAAAGTGTTAATCAGTATTTTGTGCAACTTCTAAATAATTCGGCAACGAAAGGGTTAATCATTAGCTTATCCTATAAAATCCAGTGTAATTCTTTCAGAGTTCAATTTGAAATTTTCCTCGAAAATTACTATTCGATCAGATTTTGCACCAGCTTCTATTCGCTTCTTCTTGTTTCATTGCCGCGACGCGCTTTTCATAAATGTTCAAGCTCGTGTTCGCGACTGTTGCCCGCCAAATCAATCTTGGGTAACTGATTTCAAACCGGTAGAGCGAGTGGTTGAACGATGTGATTTTTCTCCCGAACGTTGGAGATAGGTTGTTCGACTCGAGAGCTCGCAGGTGTCGGTTTCCTGCACGAGAGAATCTTTACGAATGTCGGTGTCGATCACCGGTTTTTTCTGGAGTCCGCCGTGACTCCCCCGCAAAGTGTAAGAAGGCACGCTGATTGGTTTTTCACGAACGCACAAATTACCAATCAACGTGCCCCTTGAGTGTCACCCACCCTTCCATTGCGCCCTTAGCGCGTTTTTCCTTGGAAGGAGTGGGACGATACCCGCGGGTACGTGGAGTCTTCGCTGTCCTTCGGTGACGCGTCGGAAATTCCCGCCAGGTCAACGTGTGGACGGAACCTTCAGAAGTACCTGGTTTACGACACGTCTTCGGCTGTTGAGGACGCGGAAAAGTAGAAATTCTAAAGCCATTGTTTGTCAGAAATTACTTATATTTTCGCGGAGCTACGAAGCGTCTTTGTTCTCAAAAATAACCTTCTGGTGCGAGCGTGTCGTAAACCCGGTCACCGAAGACATTCATCGAAGTCTGATTGGCGATAAATCGTCGCCGTGTTAATGAACAGGTGTTCCTGGACTAATTAGCGAAGCTGGTATGAACATGCGACTTCTCGCTGTTCTCGATAGGGCAGATTTTAATGCCGACGGGAGCCGGAGTTTCGTGATATGTCAGCTTTGTGCTGTTCGAGAGAAGGTTCCTTTGCTCGTTGTATGCGACTGCAGGTGCGCCGTGGGACGCAATCGATGGTGTGTCCTGGGAAGCTATCAGGATGGTCGATTTGACCGTGATTGCGTTGCTTGATTATGGAGTTCAGTATAATTAATGGGCAAAGAGGGGCTCTTATGTAGATCGATGTACAGTAAATTCTCTACAAGAGTCAGTAAGTTTGGCTTCTACAAGTGACAGTATAGATGGTCCTACGCCTAGGTTTGCGTCATTGCTGCGCCCATGTTATCTCGCTTGCAGTTAGTCATGCGTGTAACGCTACACCAGTCGGTTTCCTTTACGAGATTTCACGGCTCGACAAATCATAATAGAAAAATACAATTTCTTTAATTTTACTTTTTTCCATCTGGAATTTTTTTTTAACATGTTGGTGAGATTTTTCTGATGAAAGTGATATAAAACACGATATAATTTGAACAACATTTACTTATTAACACGTTCACTGTCGCGCCAGATGTACAGGTTGCTGTCAGGCGGCCACAAGAACATACATTTTAAGCATAGGATTATAGTATTATGCTTTATAATATTTTTTTTCAATTGAAAATAATGTCTAGCTAGCTATGACGTTCAAAATTTTTAGTTGACAACATTTATTTTATTTTAATTACTCTAAACATTTGAGGCACTCCAGTCACTGATGACCACCATGGCCATATCGAGGAAACAATCTAACGTTAAAACTTATTGAGTGATTCATTTCATTTCATAATATACCGCTTTAGCGAGCCACCGTTTGGTTGCCAATTGTTTATCACATAGAGTCGGCCTACCTCCACGTAAAAAAAAAACAATGTAGGGTCGATAGCAGCAGAAAAGATGCTAAACAATTAGAATTAAATGTAACGATAGCAATTATTGCAACAATGCGTAATGCAATTAAAAAATTGAAAAAATCAAAAGAAAAAACGCGAATTCATATCTTTTTCGATTCTAGAATATAAGAAAATTTGAATAAAATACGCGACGAGAATTGTGGAGAAGCATCAGTTAAACGCGTAAAAATATTCAATAATAAACGAACTAGGGATGAAGCTATTATTTCAATACGCGACGCGATGCACTGACTCTAGTGTTTACTAAAATTCAAAAATTCTCGTATAAATTCCGAAAATAGATTATTAATTACGGTAAACTACTGAGACGGTTTAATTTAGGGTGGGCATAGTGCACTCGTTTCAAATCAGCTCACAATATACAATAATAAATCAACTAACTACTTAACATGCAATTCATGCAAATTCCTTGGATGGTAAATCATTAGTAAACAAAATAGCAAATCATAAAATAAATTCAATATCAGAGAAAATATATTAAAAATTTCAAATTAATTTCAATTGCTGGAAGAAAAGTACATATTGATTGTTATGCCCTAACGAAAAAGCAACCACTCAAAGTCATTTCAATATCCTATTCGACAAGTCTGAAGAACAACGATGACTAAAATTCAAATGTTTATTTCCCTAAACCTTCAAAATAATTTCGAAATATTTTATTCGAAGCGGAGTATTCCAAGTCAGTATCGATAATTGAAGAAATTATTTGATTGTATTTAAAAGAACCGAAAGGAGAATATTTAAAGTCTGATATTAAATGTCTAGCAAGTACCAGTAATTGGTAAAATGATTTATATTTGTTTTAAAAGGAAAATTTCTAATAGGTATTAGTTAAAATGAATTGTTATTCAGTCTATTGTATTGAAATTCTAATTGATTCTAATGTATACAAGAGTTACAAGAAGGCTGAGTGTGTACAGGGTGGACACTGACTCTAGTATTTACTAAAATTCAAAAATTCTCGTATAAATTCCGAAAATAGATTATTAATTACGGTAAACTACTGAGACGGTTT